TGGTCCCGTCACGTAAGATGTTTTCGCTACCGTACCTGCAGAAGCTTGTCACGTATCGTCACCAAAGTGGTACTGCCTTCTTTAACGTAAACTAGACCACTGTACGATGAAGATGGCACAGCCTGAATTTTATTACTAGCAAGTGATGTTAGTAAAAATAAAAACAAAACGAAGAAATCTATAAAATAGTGGACCGTTTTCTCGATACCGCATTCCTCATATGGCATCGATACAGTGAACCGATAAGATGATGTCACCGACCTCTCACAGGTTACCTTTTTCAGCCGTTTCGTTTTCATTGAACCGCTGAAACAAGATATTTAGCCTTTGAAGGGTCATCAGCATGGGTCAGGAAATCCGCGTTGAGGCGGTACGGCGAGAAAGGAGCTGGATGATGCGCTCATACTTGGCGTCAGCGTATGCCAGCATTTCAGGCGTTTGAATCGTACGCCAGCACCAACGACCAGGAAAGTGTAGATATCAATTCAGGGTTTTGAGCGGTATGTTGGCGTATTAAGCGTTTTTAAGAGCGGTTCCACTAAAGTTCGAGAGGGATTGCGAAAGCTCGAATAAATTGATATCCATACTTTCCTAGTCGCTTCAAACGCCGCTGTGCGCTGGGTTACGCTGGCGTAGATACCTATACTTTCTTAGTCGCTGGCGCTGACGCCCGAAAAGCTCAAAACGCTGGCGTATGCTGGCGCAAAGTATGAACGCAGCCTGAGTGAAGTGGCGCTGTGTCAGTGACACTCGTAGTTAATCGCATTACCGCTTTGACTTATAAGTGCTCCGCACCCAGTTACCGTGTGTCGCCTCATGGCGGATCTCCTAGCTGTACTCATCCGCGCTCAAGGACGCGTGGCGACCGCACGCGTCTGCTCTCTGCTATGTGTACAAATGGAGCCTATTTTATAGCCGTACCTGAACAGTCGCATCGATGATCCATGAATTTCGAAAGCGTCGTTGCGGCACTTCAGAGCAACTGGAAAGGAGACAGTAAAGGAAATATAGTATCAGTTTACTAATGATTTACAAATTGTTGCAGATCAGTATGTTTATTGATATCGGTTCGCCAACATGCGCTCCAGACATGGGCAGGTAACATGTGGTATCCAATCTCTATGAGTAAAATGATGAAAAATAAAACAGTTGAAGCGAACGCGGCCTTTGTACTACGGGAGGAGAAGGAGGGGGAGGGGTTGAAAATTGCTGGCGTTTTCTGACCCGCTCAAATGGGAGGGCCATACCCTATCATTTCACCAGCTCAGAAAAACGCGAGCAACGTACAGTCCTGTTCGCTGCAGATGCTGGGGCATGTCAGGCCTGTGGGGGCGCGGCTCCAGCACGTTTCCCACCAATAGGTGTCGCTTGCCCGCTTCAATAGTTGATGGAGAACGGGTTGGCGCTGCACCAATCCCTATCTTCCCCAGGGGCCGCGGTTATCGGGCATGCGAGCCCAAAAAAAGTAAATAAAACTGAGCGAGAGTAGAGAGACGGAATCTTCAACCATTGCCTTCTCTTCTTATGAACTTCTCATGGACGTTTTCTACATTTCCTGAGAATGTGCGGCCTCCATCGCTCAGTCCCCTAAGCGAAGGTGCCCGTTGCCTCTCATGGGAGCTTTGAAACGCTTCAGATTGGCCCAACAAGCAAGTCCCTCAGGACACAATTTGCTATTACTTGGTGGTAGGGTCTTTACCTTACACGGGTGGTCCGTTCTAACATCCCAGAACTTTTCGGACTCCACAAAGGACTACAACTTTGCGGCAAAATGCGCCGTCGGCAAGGTGCGGCAAGGTGCGCCGTCCACAAGGAGGTGCTTCCCCCATCTGAGGACAAGGTACGGGCGAACCTATATCAGTAAGGTGACTGCGTTTATTCCGTGAAAGAGTAACCTGTGGTCTCCCAGCTCTTCCTGATCCCTCATCTTTCTTCCCTGATCTCTGGTCCGTGTACCACTTCTTCAGGCATTCGTCCAAATGAAAAGATTTATTTAATCGAGAAGCCTTATTCAGCGCCTCTTCTAGTTTTACTACTCTTCCCTTCACTGCTCAATCAAGAGCGCCTATGGTTTTACCACCCTTCCTTCACTGGTCTGAATCGAAAGTAGCGCTGTATGATCTTTATTTGGGTCTCAAATCCACGAACTATGAACGCGCTATGTTCGCCTACCCCAAAAAGAGAACATGTAGAACCATCTACAAGCACACAAGGAGGAGACCCTTCATGGGCAAAAGAGAAGCCAACCACGAAATGGAACTCAAAACACTAGAATACACACCCGCATCGTTATCAAACGACAGTGAAGTGAAAAGGGAGGATACTAGCCACCTGGGTGGGGTTTGACCGCCGTAGCAACTTCTGGCGGCCTTGTCACCCATTTCAGTGCCGCGAAAAAGAATATGCCTTCTGCAACTATGGTCAAGCTACCCACATTGCAATAATCCAAAACATAGAGAAGTTTCACTTTCTAAACCCAGTTATGGTCTGGTTCGCTTCGAACGAAGGGGCGTGTCCGCACGGCTGCGTTTAGCGCAAATCCATGCGTTATAATTTTTTTTTCTCTGGCAAGCGACAGGACTGTATCATGTCGCTGATATCAGCGGATTTTCCCAGTTGCTATCACTTACCCATTTGAACAGCTTGTAGCGAACGGTGTTGGAGGCGCGCCAAACTTAGCCGTGCGCACACGCCCTATCAATCGCAACTACACTATACTTCCAGATCCATTTTGCTCTACCATAACTGATCGGATCTCTGATAAGGCTGGTATCACTAGACTCACATTCTATGCAGTCATCCAACGATCCATACGTAAGATTTTCATTCCGGATGCTCATCGGGCTTCGTCCCGATCCTCGCCCATCGTAATGGCTCAGGTAGCACGCTTGTGTCCCTTTGTCATGGGTATAAGACCTGAAGCGTATCATCTATGTGATTTTATAACAAAAATGATCAGTAACTAAATGAACTTCATTCACTGTCATCCTACTTCCTTCGACGATTTCCCCTGAAGGCAGCGTTCATATGTTCCTACGCCCTCCTTAGATATCGTAGTTTTGTCGACAAGGGTTGAGATTATGATTATGATTTATTATCAGTTAGTAAATCATATGTACTAATTTCGCAGCTCAAAATAGAGAGGATGGCGCCACTCGCTTGTGAAGAGGGTGTCGCCCCGCCCATGTGTTGCCATAACTGCTTTGGAGGCTGAGCCCGCTTTTTAAGCATAATATGAGTTATAGAGCTCATATAATACGTGATCCAATAATGAGGAAAAAAAAACAGGAAAAAAAGTCATGGAAAATGTCCTATATAGAACCCTATGCTGGCCGGGTGGGCGGGGGGAGTCCGACTCTATCCTCTCGCCTATTTGAGATGCAAACTAGTACCTACTGCATCTTCATAGGGAGGGCTATGATATCCAGAGAGGGCGCGGGAACATTAAATGAACATGGGTGCTGCCTTCGAAAATCATCCTAGGAACTTGAAAATCGCTTCTTCTCAGCCATTAAAAATGGATTTTCAAGAAAAGAGAGCGCTGAGAACTGGAACACTTGAAGCGCTTGTAAGCTATTCTTGTGAGCTACCCTGTTAACTTCCTGCCTATCTTGTCAAAACGGCTGGCCGAAATTCAAGAAAAAATGGAAAAATGGTGTTCCAACGGCACGGAAAGCCAGTGGTTTAGAGTGCAGTTTCAAGTCCGCATCTGAGCCACGAGTTCGATCCCTGCCAAAGCACAAACCATGCCTTGCAAAAATTGCGAACATGGTGAAGATACCAGCGTCAGGCCCAGACTGACAGGCCGCCTGACATTTCGCCAAGCTTGACAGAAGTTTACAGAGTACCTTACGGGAAGTTACAGGGCTTTCAGGGTGGTATACGATCGCGAGAAGTCAGGAGCAGGTGCCTTCCTTAGGTTACTAGCGCCTAAAAAGTAACTTATGATTCTTTCCGAACTCTTTTCGCTACGCGCCATGAATTCCACTTCATAGATAAGTTCCATCAGAACTTATCTTCCCGGACGAGACGGCAAATGACCAACCAACCCGTGAAACTTATCAGAAGACGATCTGGTATATTATCCGGGACCACGTGGTAAGCAAAAGTTCCCGTTACCTGTACTTAATTTTTAGTATGTCCTATAACCACCTGCTTCCTTTTATAGCTTCTCACGTACCTGCACGGATCGCCAACGATGTGTTGATTGACACAAGTTCTCTCACATTCCTCAGCGTCAGCCACATCCGAAACGACTTCATCGTACATATCCGTAAAGCCAGCTACAGATAATCGCATGAAAGTGCATTTTGAAGATGACATCATCACTGTAATAAACCTGTTTCCCGAGCTGTTTCACCTCAAGTTTATGAGCACTAAATGTGAATAGCGCCGTTTTGGCATGTCTTACGTTGGTCACTTCATCTCGGCTGTGAATGGGTCTTACTTGGTCCGTTAGAGTTGAGTGTCTATTTTGCCCGTATAAGGCCCAGTATGTAGACTCTGGATGGAGGCACCACAGCTCTAGCATCCCTAATCAGTAATTGAAAGAAAGTCCATGAAGAAATTTTACCGGCGCTTGGCGCGGTCACTTTGTAGCGGCTATAGGGCAAAAAAAACGACACTTCGGCCGAGTCACATATCAGCAAAGTTTTCGCAGCCCAGACAGAGGACGTGGATACGAGTACCAGGGCGGAAGATACCCAAGATGTTCCTCTATAACACCAAAATATGAACCATTTCCATTCGCGCCGGACTGAGGAAGAATTCACTTTCACTGCCAAAACAGCTGGCGAAAACTTTGTATCGAGTCACACCCGTTTACAGCTACCCTGGGGACAGACCACCCAACATCGAGCAGCCCCGACAACGTCGCTACAGGCCAGATGTCGTCTTTAGCGCGATCGCCAAGGTGCGGTGCGGGTGATGATATGGACCGGAAAGTTCCTGGAACAGGGAGACCGACATTTCTTCGTGACGCCGGAACTGAAGTGGATGCTCGACAGTTACAGGGTTCGACCAACTTGAGGAGAATATCCTGCCTTCGTGTCGTCGCCTGTACCATCTTGGAAACTTCGTACTGCTACACGATTGAGTGCCACCACATGGAATCGAAGGGCGTTGGAAAACTCTCGCCTACTTGGAATGGAAGGGGGCTGAGTACCTGAAGAAGATGGAATATCCAAGTGTGTCACCTGACCTGAACCCCCTCAATTACCCGGTTCGGGCGGAGCTCAACAGGTGGTCACAGTGGGCGCGAGAAATCAGAACCTCGCTGAATTCAGGCACCGAATCACGGTCGTGTGGCAGAATCTCTCGATGGCGCTCGTCCAGAAGGTTATGGCGTATCATATCGTATCATATCATCAGTGTACAATGTGCTGTCGAATATGGTGGTGGAATGTCCAATAAATGAGAATTCAATAGATTGTTAACTTATCATCGCTTTTGAAAAGTCGAGGAAGAAAAACAGTTTCCCCCCGCCCCCCTGTACGAGCTGCCGCTCTGCAGGCAACCTATTGTTATTCGCCACTTTGCAAGCGAGATGTTAGAGACTGCTGATGGCTGTTCGGCTTCAGCCGCGTTTCGTTCTTCATTAATTCAGCACCGTCTAGCGTCTGCCAGCGTGTACCAGCTACCAACAGCATCCGGGAGGGGAGAGTATGGAGAGGAGATAGAGGGAGCAGACAGATGGTACCTTCGTATCGACCCATACTCTCTACCAGCAGTCTGCTGCTGGTTACTCGCTGGTAGACGTCGGGAGACGCTGGCGGACGCTAGATCGATACCCATTCTTCCCCAACCCTTGAGACGCTGCTGGTCGCTGAGGGACGCTGGCAGACGCTGGCGAACAGTAGATCGATATCTACGATTTCCTAGTCGCTGACGCTTGGAACGCCGGTGGACGCTGACGTAAAGTATGAACGCAGCAGTGTTAGGGAATAAAGGGGATGGGGATGGAGGTAATATGCACTTCCTGTTGCTAGTTCCTGATCAATTACACTTTTCGCCTTGGCGGGCGTGAGAGTCTTGTCAAAATTCAACCGAGTTTCGTGCATATAATTGTCAGAAACTTATGTCCCAAGCCAACAGCAGTCATGATACCATCGACCGGTTACTGTAGAAGAAAAGGTGTTCACCACTGGCTGTGGACAGTAATCCATCGGTGAGACGTACATTTGTCTTTACCTTGTCGTTCGGGCTTCTTCGCCGTATTGGGTGAGTGATGATGAGAGTATTTTAAAAGGAAACGTTATTTCAAAAATGTAACAAGCCTGCTCACCTTCCACACAGTTGTTTTCGTACACATCCACGCCATCATTGTAGGTGAAATAATTTCTCATGTTGTATACGGTATTTGGTGAAGCCTTGAGCAAAACACAAGAGGAACTGTGACGACTGTACTGTGCTGCGTGACAGTCGGATCTGAATCCGAGAATGTTTTCGAGACAGTTCTGACATGAGGACTGAAATATGAAGGAATTTCATGGAGCACAAGGGTTGGAACCTCTCAGACCACCTTTTCGGCAACTGCTCGGCGGAGACATTACTTGCTGCGAATAAGCCCTCTACAAAGTGATTTCCAAATCAAGCACTTATTGAAAGTTTTCGATGAGCGCCTTCACAAACCCGAGTGGATGGGCAGAAGCAGTGGGCTAAACTATGAAATCAGAGTACAACATGATGAAGTGAAAGAACGGTGCCAGCCTCCGCCTCCTCGAATGTACTTCTCTGGTAAGGTCCCCTCAGCACCATGTTTGGCATCTTCTCCCCTCAGCACCATGCCTGTCATCTTTCTGAATTTTCCCGACTCCCTACCAGTTTCTCGACGAATTCCCTATTTCGAAGAATTTTTAGTCTTTTGTCTAATGGCAAGAACCGTCGAACGTCGACCAGGGAAGTGGGGGGGAGGGTGGAAGGAGGGGAGAAACATGCAAAGCAATCGCACTGTGCCCTCTCCCTCGGCAATGGGTGCGGCGTTTTTGAAGTGACATTGGAGTGTATTGGAGCACCGGATTTCATGCGGACCACGATATCACAGACATTTAGGGGTGTTTTTAGTTATACAATGTCTATAGGTGCCAACTAAGACCTAGAAAAGTCATCAAATGCAAGCGCGATGTCGCACGCGACGCTCGCACACGCGATTATCTTATCACATACCCGGAGGAGGGCTGAAGAGATCGTTGCCAGTCAACTTCTAGCTTCATTTCTCAACTATCAACAGCTGTATTGGCGCAGTACTTTTGCAGCGACGAAGTACGCCCCCCCCCC